GTGAATTCACGTGAGCGCGCGCATGCTTCCCAGGTGAGCCCACGAGACACACCCAATGTACAGCTTGTACTGAACAGGTCACAACTTCCCCTCAACTCCCGCCATCATTCTGCTGCCGTCACGCAGATTTGACTCAGTTGGTTTTTGCAACATTTATATATATATATATATATATATATACATATGTATAAAAACGAATAAAACATAAAGATTTGATAAATTATTCCTGTAGGCGCTTTTGTGTGTTGAGTCTATTGTTAACCCTTATCTAGGTAGGACAACTTAATTTAAACTTTATATGGTCTTTATCACCCTTTTTTACATGTTTGTTATCAAATTAAAGTTAGAGGTAGTTAGCGTAGCAGTTTGGTGCCGTGTCAAACATGTTTATGGGTAAGCTAATTATTCTCATACGCAATTCCCTAAATAAACACTTTATACTGACCTTGTTATCACCCTTAATGGTATTTTTTGTTATCATACATGTCTTCTTAAAGCTTTTAATAGTTAGAATTTCATTCTGTTTCCTTGAAAATAGTGGGTTACCGTGTTTTTCATCATCATTCGCAACTCTTTCTGAATACTCAAAACACTCTTCTCACACTGAATGTCGCCGGTGTCCTCTGTGCTGTGGTCAACATCACTCAAGATTTATTGTTGGGGTGGAAAAAAGAGAGACGCCATTATACGCACTGAATGAACTCACTGGTCCAAAAAGAGTTTTTTGTCATGTAAATTGGCGAAGAGTTGGGCTGCACAGACTGGACTCAGTTTGAAGTAAAGGGGAGCTGAAAGTATTCCCGTCGGTCTTTCCCTCTGTATCCAAAAACGTATGCAATTTTTCTTATTTGGGATTGTTTCTGTTTCCCAACAGCCTGTGGGGAGAGAGCGGCTCTGTGGTTTCTGCCCATGAATCCAGTTCACCACGACAGCATCTTGTTCACAGTAAGTAACGTCTTAAGTTTCAATTAACAGTATTACAATGAAAAGTTTATGAGATAAATGCGAAATATGCTACAGCTACTGTCTTTATGAACTGTATGTAGGTGTACGTTTTGGTTTTCCACCTGTCAAGAAACAATTTCATTTCACTTTGTATATTAAATATGTGTAGAAATATATTATATTGTTATGTAATGACAATCTCTATAACTAAATGTTTTAAATTGAGACATTGGTACAGTAGGGTAAATCAAAGAGATCCCTGTTCTGTTTGTAGAAAGGTTGTTACTGTATATGTTTGAGGTTGAAAATCCAACTTTAAAGATCCAGTGTGTCACATTAAGGAGGATCTACTGTCAGAAATGGAATATAATATTCATAGGTGTGTTTTCATTAGTGTAAAATAAGAAGTTGTTTTTCCGTTACCTTAGAACAAGCCCGTTTTATCTACAGAGGGAGCGGGTCCTCTTCTGCGGGGTCCGCCATATTTCTACAGTAGCCCCCATGAATGGACAAATCAAGCACTGGCTTCTAGATAGGTCCTTTCACCATTATGTGAGTTTTCCCATAGTTTTCAATTTTCTCGTGCTTGGTTGTGATAGGTCATCCCCCCCTTTACAGCAGATGTCGCTTAATCCTACACTTTTTTTTTGCCCGACAGTCCACCAGTTTAAATGTTTAAATTACACCCATTCGAAAATAGCTGAGCATTTAATCAGTATTGTCTGAAAATCAAGCCCCTCCCCTAGAAACAAAAAAGCTTTATTCAACTTCTCCAACTGCCCAGTGTTCATCATTATCTCACCACCCTGTGGAGAAATAGTGTACGTTTAAATCTTTTAATTGGTTAAATGAGGCAAAATGCAATGTCAGCTTATTGTCTTTGTAAATTGGTCCATTGATTGTAATAATTGTAATCTTGGACAGTTATCTTGTGGGGAGCAATACATTATGCTAACAAATATAAGTAAAAGTTCTGTCAATGCCCTGGTGGAGTACCATTGCCTTTACAGGTTGTATTGGTTATTAAATGTATTTAATGTGTTCCTATTTGCTGCAAGAAAAATGATGGCAGCTAGCATTAGGCTAGCTGTTAGCATGTCGGTTGTTAAAACAGGGCCTCACTGTCACTCACGCCTCTGCTTAAATTACAACCAAGTAACGTAAGGTGTAATATGGCCTCTTTTTGGCTGAGCAATTTGCTGAAAACATGTTTAATATTTTAGTAGCAAACTTATTGCAGTTGTGGTATTCCAGTAAATGCCACCTTTGCTGGCTGTGCTCTAAACTATTCATATTACATACGTCCATTTTTATACTCTTATACGTATGTGCTAATGTAAGAGGTACAAATGGATGATGGTCCATCAAAAGAACATACAAGATGTATCAGGGATGTCATGTCCTTTAGAGAGCACAACATTTAAAAAGTCATCTTTTTACTTAAGGGGAAACATTCTTTCAATGGCAGGCTTCGATTTATTCAGTATTGTGTCAACATGCCACTGTTGATTTTTCTATCTGAGAATAGAAACCGTAGGATGTATGTCATGGGATTATAAAGTACAGGAGATATTATTCTCTTTTCTACATTAACAATAGACATCTAACTGTGCAGCGTCCCTCATTAACTTCTTGGAGTTTATTAAAAGCTCAAATGGAGCATGTGAAGTGCTGTATTTCTTGCACTCAGGAAACCCTTACACAGACAGAAATGATACAGTAGGTGGGCCACTCCCTTCCAGCTCCTCCTCCAGCATGTGAAAGGGCTGTTTAGACTGGCATCACCGCCGAAGTGTCAGCCAAGAAAGCAGAGAGGGGGGAAGAGTTGTTCCCCTTGAGAGAAGTTAGCCATTGTATCAAACCAGATCTGGTTGCTAGGAGCGCGGCTGTGTATGTCCCGCTTCAGAGTGCCCACTGTGGTATGTACAGTGAAGAGGAAAAGGTTGTTTTCTCCTCTGAGTCATGTTAACTCCTTGAATCCCAGATTTGTGTCACAGGGTTAACTTTGGGTACAGATCTGAGTCTGAGTCCTGTTATAAGGCGTGTGACAGGGTGTAGTACAGCGACAGTGACTGACATGAACCTTTAACGCCTGATGTGTGGTCTGCCGGAGCCAAGAGGAAATGTCTTTCCAGAGAAATGAACACAACGCTGAGCCTATCTGGAACTCCTACTCCTTTCTAAATATACTTCTAATCAAATCCTATTAAAACAGCAGCGATCAGGCACCGATGTCTAGAGATTCTTGCTCCTGAGGAAGAATTGAAAGAAGAAATGTGGGGATGTAAAAGGTAATAATTAAGTGATTAAAAGAAACATAATTTATTCCAAAACAGACCTCTGATGATGTGACTTTTCTTTGACAGACATGACGGTAAACAAACTGAACATCTCTGGCGTATGGACGGACATTTGAAGGCATCATCTTGTAAATGATGTTGGGCATTTGTCACTATTTTCATAAGCATTTTATAGACAAAACAATCAAGAAATGAATTGTCAGATTAATTGATCATGAAAATAATCTTTATTTGCAGCCCTAATCAGTAGAGAGAGCATCATCCCCACCACTGTGATGAAGGTATGAGTGAGTGATGTGTTCCTCCGATGTAAGAGCAGGTTTAGGAATATTTCAAACATAAAATTCAAGACAGAATCAAGAAGCACATCATTTTCACTCAGGGCCAGGGTTTCTGGACCCCCACTACCTCTGGCCCTCTGTGCATTGTCTATGTACCAAGTGTTTTGTCTGTGTGCTAATTTGATTTATTACAACTTTATTAAGGAATATGTACAATGTGAACATAACTTAAACTGTGGTGTAATAATTGCAACCTCTGTTTTGTTCATTTTCATAACATTTTGTTCAATCTATAGGTTTATACAATAAATGCACAGAACCAATCCATTAACAGGTTTAACCCCGCTGGTGGGTGATAAAGAAGTGTACATCCGTGTATCATCTGATTAACTATGACTATCTGCACTTATAGGCTGAGGAGACGAAACTGTCTGTGAGGAAGACCAGAACATCTTTGTATGGTATTCTCATACTGTAGTTGATTTTATCAGGCAGGCGAACTATAGAAAACTTGGGTTCATACCAGTAAATCATTTTCAGTTTTCTTGATACTGTGGCGAGCATTAAAGCAATTTTTTTTATTCTGACATGCAGCAAATAAATTAGTTTGAAACATCTGTGATTTAACTTTAAAATGAAAATATATGAAGTTGACTTTACACTGTTGGATCCATGAGGAGGTTTCACAATAACAGTTATCAGTGCCAGAAGGAAAACGGCAAATGATTCACTACTAAACTCTGTTGAAACCAATGTGGTTAGCAAGAAAGAATGCTGGTTTAGGGCTAATGTGGTGTGTCATTTCTTATCTGAGCAATTCTCTATCAACAACAGCAAGCAACAATTTACATTTTATGTGTGTATCATAACTTATAATATTTACAGTGACAGGTTGGAGGTATTGCTTACGTTAGGGGTTCAATGTCTCATGGTGGCTGATCAAAATCAGTTTAATGTCAGAGTTGGTGGGAAATAAAAAGTGCTATGTTAAAGATTTGGAGTTCATTTTAGTGCAGTTTGAACAGTATTTTCTGCTGTGCCTGGGAAGCAAGACATTACATATATTGACACAAGACCTCTTAAAGGTCCAGTGTGTAACATTTAGGACGATCTGTTGGCAGAAATGAAATATAATATTCATAGGTTTAATTCTTTAGAGTATAATCACCTGAAAAGAAGAATCGTTATGTTTTTGTTAAATTACAATGAGCTGTTTTTATCTACAGACACTGGGTCGCCTTTAAGAGTCCACCATGTTGAACCTCCATGTTTCTACAGTAGCCCAGAAGGGACAAACCAAACACCTTTCACAGCCACAGCTTGGAAATTGGAGGGTGAAACGAAGAAGTTGCGATCTGCAACTACACCGCCATATGCCACTAAATCCTACACATTGGACCTTTAAAGCTACCTAATCAATACTTTTATATTAACAATGGATCAAATGACTGTGTGATGTTAAAGTGGTCGCTAGTAGCGACGAAAAAACAGTATCACCCACCTCTGCAGTTGCACTATACGCTATATGGAGAGTTTTAGCCTCTTTTAACTCATTGTTTTGGTTTTACGGTCTGGATCTTGAGACCAAAACAGGGCAATGAAGAGAATGAATGTTGGACTTACATTCGTCAGGTGGACAGAAACATCACTTCAAGTGAATGCTAATGTTGGTCTGCGGCTGTAAGCACTCGTTTACCATAGCAACTTTACAAGGTGATAATATGTAAATGCTGTGTTTACAGCTTGTTCTGCTGCCCCCAAGTGGCCAAACAAAATCAATGACCTCAGGACCTCGGAAGGTCAAAGTGAATGGTAGGCAGTAACCATGACCACTATTGTTCCCTTACCTTAACCACGGAGTTGCTCATTTCATTTGTATTGGCTGTTTTGGAAGGCCCTGAAAAGAGATGTACTGACGAGGCTAAATTACAACTACTCCACAATCTGGCTTACTCTGGCTTTGTTAGCTCCTTTGTAAAAGGCTGTAGAAACACAATTAATCATGAGCACTAGGATCGAGTGTCAGGGTCACTGTGCCATCCTGCTCTTTCTGCCAAGGAAGGCAGATTCACATACTGGTACTTTCTTTATCTTCTAAAGAGCAAAGGAAGTGGCTTTACCTCCAGAAAAGGGAGAAGAAATATGTGGCAATCTTAATGTTCATATCAAATATTTGACAAGTAGAAAATGTGCCCGTTTGTATGAGCACATGATTGTGTAAACACAAGAGTCACAAAGCCGTTTCCCATAGCCTGGAGGCAGTGTTCTGCTCTGTGTGCCACTCCCAAGAGCCTGGGAGGAGGCCATGGAAGGAGGGGCCTGACTCCCCTGTCTCAAGCCCACACAGGTGAACTCCTGTTGGGGTGGAATGCAGCAGGGAGGGGGCCTTGACACACAGAGGTGTGGAGCTTTTAATTTCAAACAGGGTGGGGATGAGATAGAAGGTACAGGAAGGGAGTTAACCCTCTCCGTCACAGCCACTCACCTGGATAGAGAAGGGAGAGTGTGTGCGTGGGTGGGTGTGTGTGTGTGTGTGCGCACAGAAGCTAAAGGAGGGATCGAGTCGCAGCACACACAGTCATATTCACTCAGTTGGTCTGAGTCTCTCTGTCTCTCCTATCTCTCTCTCTCGTACACACTTAAAACCTCCTGCACAGACGCAGAAAGACACACACACCCGACTCAGCTGAGTTTGAGGGCAAATAAGTCAATATTTGACCAGACCGGACTGTACAGGAAGGAAGTAACAAAAGACAGAAAAGAAAATTGGAAGTCTGTCCTTTTCTTCTTGTTGGAACTTTGACACAAGGACTTGAAGAAGTTTTTTTTCTCCAGGTGGATACAAACTTTTCCCAAACTCTTGGGTCAAACAAAGCAAAAGGGGAATTAGTTTTTTCTTATTTATTGTTGGACTTTTGGACTTGGACTGGGCGAGAGCGCTGTAAGAGGTTTGTTTGATCAGTAATCTCTTTGTATGCACTCATAAATGTCCTAATTGCTCCATTGTTTTCAATGCCCTTCACCCTTAAATGTGTTGTTCTCAACCTTGCAACATTTACTGATTATTCTGCTGGTTCATGTTTGTCTGACTTTTGAGCAAGGTGTATGGCTGTAAAGTGTGCGTTATGTAACTTTATATCTCACCATGTGGTTTTAGAATTGCATGCAATATTTGGATTTAGCTTAGTTTCTCTTGAATCTCTCTCTTTTTTTCTTTTTTTTTCTGCATGACTGCCCAATGCAACACAGGTGAAAGACACTGGATCAGAACAAACAGTAGAGAGAAAGTTCCCAATGTTTATATAAGCCACTCTGCTGACGGCTACAGACCTGCTGTATTAGTTTGCTATTTGGGGTTTTTCAGGTGGAATATAGTGATAGCTTCAAAGGCAGGGGTTTTCCAGGTGTGTGTCGCTGTGATTTAACTTACTGTCAAAGGCAGGTCCCCGAGCATGACCCCTAAATCTTTTACTGAAGACCTCCACCCCTCACTGATGATGTCACGACAGGGGTCAGACCCACACCCAGCGGTGGTATGTTCACCTGGCAGGCATGCAACAACTTTGAACTCAGAAAAAAAAAAGTCCTGTCTTGCTTTCTTTGTGCCACGGTGTCATTCAGACCAAAGAGAAAGCAGCATGAATGACTCAGTTCTATTTTCTGTCCCTTGGAAGCTGTAATTTGTGTCTCCCAGTTTATTGTCGGTGTCATAAACGCCTGCGTGCCTCCGATTTTGTCCGAGAAGGAGGACAAACACAAAGTGCTTTTTCTCTACTCGGCTCATATTCCGTAACTGGTGGTCAAGTTTGGAGGATAGGAGCTGGTCTGTTCTGTTTTTTTCCCTGACCCATCTCGGCCAGTGATTTATGTTTGACCTTATGGCATGAACTCCCCCCCGCGCACACACACCCACGCGCACACACCTGTAGTGAGCTCAAATTCACAGCGAGGCGCTAAGGTGCCTTTCCCATGTGTTTTCAGGCTGTGTTTTTAACTTGGACGGGTCATTCTCTCGCCTCAAGGAGAAATTCCTTCTCAGAGTTGTAAATCTTCACAGCACAAATCATCATTTTTTTGTGCCCTGCGGTGGCACGTACAGTATTCAGTTATCTGCCCACTGAGACAATTACTGAGACATTTCATGCCACATAGTGCCCTTTGTTCACTCTCCACCTCCTGTCTTTAGTGGAGATAATTTTTTGTTGCTTCCTGTGTGTCAGATTGTTCCCCATCCAAGATTCCAGCATAAAATTATAAAGCGGTTTTATTGTGAAGTCTACAAAGCATGCTGCCCGGAATATTTCCAGGTCCCGCCCTGTATTGGTTGATGATTTTGTAATGCCTTTAAGATTCCTGTCTCAAACTCAATATAATGGAGATAAATGGAATTTGGGGTATTGAAAAGGTTGGACATTCACATTAAAAAAAGTCCATTTGAGTATCTATTTCCACAAGCAGAGTTTTTAAAGTGACTGTTCCTTCTGTAGAAAGTAGTTTCAAAGGAACTCTTCACAGCGTTTGACAGCAAACAACATTTCCATTTACCTCCATTGTACGGGGATAAGGGCAGCAATCTCATAGATACATATCTCAAAACCTGAGCACCCAAACTATCTGCATGGCTACATACCACTACAGATGTACATAGGTCCCTATTTATGCCCATATTCAGGTATAAAATGTTTAGACTCTTTAAATAGCTTTCAGTTTGTTTGGGGAGAGGAAAACAGTTTTTTAAAAAGTGTGCTTTTCTGAAAGTACAGAGTGTCTTTCTGTTTTGAGCCGCTCTCAGATAGCAGCTCTTTTCACAAACTGAGGTGAAGGTAAGGGGAGTGTCTGGGCCTGTCCACTTTCTCTGGGGCTTGACTGAGGGAAAGTACAGGTGGTTCAAGTTACACCTTAGTCTGCAGAGATATCACCGGGGGATAGGAGTCTTTCTCTCTGTCTCTCTCTCTGTAACAGTGGGTCTTAGCTGCATACATGAATGTGTTTGTTTGTTTGTGTTTCTGTTACAGGAAGGAGATGGGGAGATGGACGTTACATCTCTCAGTGAGCCTTGGGCTTCTAGCTGTCCTGTTGACCTGCTGCTATGCTGAAGGTGAGGAAGCCCAGAGTCATAACTAATCTCAAAATCATTTATCTATTTCACTACAAGTCATTTATTGACATGTTCCTTTATATTATATTATAGTAGCCTAAATAGAATGGTTGGGTATATGTTTCTTTAGGTAAATAGTTGTAATACAAACAGGGGTGGGGTGAGCTTATTTACTGATGAACAAAGTAAGATACAATACTCAGTGGATTGCCAGTAAATGAATCAACAATTATTTTAATCATTTAACTATTTCCAGTCTATAATTCAAGCCTGTGTAAAATGTAGGGATTTTTTTATTTTCAGTGCTTTATATAATTAAATAATGAATATTTTGCTTTTTTGTTACTTCTGATCTGAAAAAAAAATCTAATTGAAGACATTAGCTTGGGCCTTAGGGAGACAGTGAATTGAGCGGCTCACTAATTTCTGTCATTGTACTGACTAAGTGATTGCTAAAACTAAATTAAACTAAATAAAGCTCAGTTTACTTGCTATTAGACTATGTGTGTATGGCATAGTGAAATATTACTGAATCCACAGTATATACAGTAAATGATGTTTCTTGTATTTGTGAGGATTTTTCTTAAAGATCAGATCAGGGAATCTTATATAAATATATTTATTATCTAACTGTTTGTTTACTACTGTATCACTGTTAGTGTGCTGTTGTTTTCAGCATTGGTTTCACTTTAACACTATCAGTAGAAAATAAGGTCTTGTGCCAAAGTCTGTTTAGAGTTACTGCAGGTATTCTAGCTATGTTTCATGGGTTTGATTCTCACTTTGTTGCCTCTCTGGGACTCCTTCTGACACTCTCCCCTCCTGCTCTCCCTCTGCCCCCCCCTACAGTGAACTACTGCTTCGCTTCCAGGGCCAAAACTTGCTCTGAATGCCTGCAGTCTGGGAAAGACTGCGCCTACTGCTCTGATGAGGTGAGAGGACAGAACAGCAAGAGTATAAAAGAACTGGATTCAAATCTATCAGGGCTGTAGCATTCCTCAGGGAGATATGCTGCCCCCTTTTACCATACCATGTTTTATATATATATATATATATATATATATTATGGCATGCCGTTTAG